TGGAGTTGGGGTTCAAGCGCAGCTGCCCAGCGTCTTGCCTGCCCGTTTTGCGCAGAGATGCTCCAGCCCATTGGAACCCACGGGTCCCTAGGCGGTGGTAACTCCGCAGAGAGTTGCGCTTTCACCAACAGTGAGCCGAGAAGGGACAGCGGTTACGACGGATTCCTTAACCCGGGTATAGAGTCGCGATCTTTCGGAGGTGCCCGGAGAATCCCTCTCACGCACACGCCCTCCTTCCCCCTCTTCTGCTCCTTCCTCGCCATTTTGCTTCGGATAAAAAATCCCCCCTCCTTGGCGAAGACTGCCGCCTGGCTGTTTTCCTCCGGTAACTGCCTCGGTCGCCTGGGAATGGCCCTGGGGATTTACGCGGAGTATGGACCTACTGGAAGCCCCGGGAGGTGCGCAAGAAGCCGAGAGATGCTTAGTAAACAATTTGTACCGAAAGGCGCAGGGCTCTTATTGACTTCCTTATAGGTCACCCGCTGCCGGTGCGGAGGGGGAAACTATTTATTTGACACATATTCTTTATGACCTTGGGGGAATTAGAGGAAATTCAATCAGAAAACGGCTAGAATCGTTTTAAACCCCCCTATTTAAAAGATTTAAGCAAATCAGAGATTTATCAGATTAAAATCCACTACAAAACGCGGGAGCGCCGTCGCCGTCGAAAGGCAGTGGGGTCTACGGAGTGGAGTTTTTTTGCGTCTTTGCCAAATCTCCGGGATAAAGCCGCGTCATTTAAACAGCGGAGAATGAGCAGAATGTAAATTAAGATGACCTTCTTTACCAACTGACTGCGAAAGTAATGGGTTGAGTTTGGTGAGAAGGCAGAGAGACTGGAAGAGAGGAGGCGCAGGCAGGACTTCTGACACGCCGTCACCAGCCGGGAAGAGGGGGGGCAGAGGGGGGCAGAGGGGGGCTTGGGTTTAAGGGGAGCCCCTCAGAGTTCAGATGTTTTCTGGGGCATTCACACAATCACGTCGCTCAAGGTTATTTTTCTCTTAGGAAGGCCGGAGTCCCACTAATGGTGCCGGCAGTCTGGATCGTTAAGGAAAGGCAAGAGGCGAATTTTCCAAGCTTTTCATCACATGCTTCTACTCTGGAGTAGAAGGCGGAGCCGGGGAGAGGTAGCCATTATGGCTCAGCTGAATTGGGAAGACAGCCTAAAATCTCCTGATGCTAAAATAGACCAGGAGAAGAAAACAAAGTAACCCCTGGCATTGAGTACTTTATTTTTCAGTTCACTTAATTTATAGCCCACCTTTCTCTCCGCAACTCAAGACAGATTTCTCGGCGTAAATCAATGCAAACTGTTAATGAGACATCGGCTAAAGGGCGGACTAGGACGGTAGCAGTCTGTTGGTACAGGATCCCGCCTATTTCCCTCAATTGGCTGGTGACAAACAACAACTGCGTGATACTCTCGGTACTTAGGATCCTGGGTTAGTCTTCTGTCAATAAAGCTTCTCTCTGGCTGCGATCACACAAACTAAGTAATCCACTGTCGATCCACTTTCCAACTGGACCTTACTGTGGCTGCAGTCACACACACTAAATAATCCACTTTCAGTGCACTTTCCAACTGTGTGAACTGGCAAGATCCAGTTGGAAAACGCATTGAAAGTAGATTATTTCGTATGTGGGATCGCAGCCTCTGTCTCACTCGCTCTTTCTCTCCGGGCTCCCTTGTCTGGCAGGCAGCTCCCCCAGCACCCCCATTATTAACGCCACGCTTTAAACACAAAAAGCAACCCCCTTCCCGCGGGCTAAAGAATCACCCCCGCTTCAAAGGAAGGGCTGGTCAGCAATCAGTATGTATGTTAAAAGTGCAGTAATCGAAGATTGATATTCCTTTATTACTTTCGGCGAAAACACAAGCCACAACTCGGGAAGGATGTAGGTAGATCGATTACAGTCCTTTTTTGCGTCACGTCAAAACCATGACGTTATGAGTACCGGAGACATAACTCAGGGAGGGGAAAGGAACTGACACGTTTCCCTTGCTGGTGACGCTTCACTAAAGAATCCACTCGACAGCCTTTTGCTGGCAACTTCGTTCCGTTGATTCCAGCGCGTCTTGGGTCCCAGTAAGCCCTCCGCTCTGTGCCTTCACCTGTGGGTAAATTCCAACGAAATCCAAGGGACTTCCTCTTTTTTTGATCCGGCTGTACATTTGCTTAACGTTGATTTAGAGCGCAATGCTTGCTTGTCTACTCAGAAGTAAATCCCACTGCTTTCAATGGGGCGCACTCCCAGGAAGAATAGCAGCATGTTATCAAACCAAAGATAGTACCTTGATTTGTAGGGATTTTCCAGATCCCTTGGACAGGTCTGAATAAACGTCGTAAATGATAACGAAGGCTGTAACTTTTTTTAAAAAAAAGCATTTGGAGGAATTACTCTTAACTAGAATACCAGAAGTACTTTGAAGTATTAAACTAGCAAACTAAGACCTTAGATTTTTGTTTCAGTACAGCTGAAAATTTATGGTACAGACAACACAATCCCGTACATTTTTACGGGAAGTCCGGTAAACCACCCACCCCAGTTCTGTGAGATTTATTTCCAAATAAAGAAGACTTCCGTACAAATTAATTTGGGATTGGAAAGTCAAAGGTCTGAACTGCAAACTGCACACATATTGGTGTGTGCGTGTGTTATCTACCGGTCTATCAAAATATCTGATTTATTTTAGAGGCGCAGACATTCACCTTTACAAAAGCGTTCGATTAAGACCGTTTTCAACGATATCGGCAGCGAAGGTAATTCTTAAGCACTCTTTTTTCTTGGTAAAGAGTCATTTAAACAGGCGTGGACTTTAAAAACACAATAGAGCAAGACGCACTTTCCCCAAAGGGTCGCCCCCCCCCCCGTTTTTATCTGCAGCGTCTTTCCTTAAAATTCTCCTTCTCTTCTGTCTGACTGCAGTAAGGAGCCCGGGATCGCAGCAACAATTCTCGTAGCGGCGTTTCTCTTTCCGCTAAACTAACCTGCCGGCTGGCGCTGCAGAAACCAGTCCGCACGGGCGGGAGGGGGGGGCGGGGGCGACGGTGTTTGATTTGGGAATTTCCTCGCGGGTAATGGGGGGACCTGTCAAAATTCTTTGAGGCGAAATGTGGATGCCTTTCAAACCCATGCAATAGGAAAGCATGCTGCAAAACGACGTGAAGCAGAAAACATAACATATAAAACGACAGGAAGCCGTGCCCGGATCCTGTATGTCATCTTCCCCCGCTCTCTCCCCTGAGACGCGAGCTTCGGAGCGCAGAAGCCCTGACTGGCAAAAAATCGACTTTCCCGTCGCCCTGCCCCGGCGCGCTGATAGGCTGGCCGTGCTCTCGCCTGCGCCTAGGCGTCGCGCCTCCTGATTGGCTGGGCGCCGCGTCACTCGGGCCCTGAGCAGCGAGTCGGGCGGGCGGGCGAGGCGGGAGGGAGGGGAGAGGAGGGGGCCGGCCGATATCCCTGCCCCGGGAAGGCCGCCTCTGGGTTTAAGATGTTAGGCGGACCGGGAAGCGGCGGAGCTGCGCGGGTCCGGGGCTCGCTGGGGCGCACAGCTGCGCGGGAGACGGAGCGCCGCTGAGAGGGGCTGCTGCGCCGCTTCTGCTGCTGCCGCCGCTTGTGGATCTAACTGGTGGCGGCGGCGGCGGCGCTTCTGCTTCATGCCCGGCGAGGGTCGCCGGGGGGATCTACGTCGGAGGCTGCCGCCGCTCTGCCTGCCGGCCGCAGAGGCTCATGCGGGGGGCCCCGTCGGGAGCAGGGAGGGCGGGGGAGAGGCCGCTGCGCCCTGAGCCTTCCTCGGGACTGGCTGCTGCGGGGAGGCCGCGGGACGCCAGCGGGGCTCTCTCGCCCGCCGCCGACGCTCGGCCAGCCTTAGGAGTCCCCGGAGGGGCCGCCCCCAGCCGGTCGGGCTGGCCCCAGCGCTGGGCTCCCCGATGAACTGCCTGAAAGAGCCGCTGAGCCTGGAGCGCTTAGGAGCCGGGAACCCGCTGTGCTCCACCTCCCCTTCCTCCTCCTCCTCCTCCTCCTCCTCGTCGTCGTCGTCCTCCTCTTGCCACTACCACCAGCCGCCGCCGGCCCTGGTCATGGCTTCGGCCCTGACCCCCGGACAGCCGCGGTCGGCCTTGGAGTCTGCCAAACACCGGCTGGAGGTGCACACCATCTCCGACACCTCCAGCCCCGAGGCCGCAGGTAAGGAGCCCGGCCCAGTTCTGATGACGGGCCTTCCTCTCCCCCGTGTCGCCTCTCCGCCCCACGCCCGCTTATTGCTCCCCAGGTAAGAACTGGGAGCACGGGGGTCCCGATCCCGAGAAGGGAAGGGCAGGGGACTCTTCTACCTTTTCAGGTGAATGCAAACGTGTCTGCTTCTGGAAGGAGACGCTGGAGCGTTCCTTGAAAAAGGTAGACCTCTTCGCCTTGCTTCCCGGGAACAAGGTGTTTGCGAGGGACAGAGCTCAGCTGTCCAAGCTGACAATTGTGACCGTGATGTAGCCGAGCGCCATCTCAGTAAAAGAGCAGCCCGGATGTGCTAGTTGTAAGCCATAAGCCTTTCGTTTGATGTAAATACATGGCACGACCCAAAGGATCCTCAGAGCCACAGATCAGGTAGACTGAAATACAGGGGATCGGTTTAAGTACATTTGGGTTCCGAGAGACCAGAGCTGTTCTTACCTGTGGTGCCCCACTGAGCGCAGTGAGACTTACAGGTTTGCATAGATTTCGGCTCTTAGGTTGCGCTCCAACACACGACTACCTGGGACTGTCCCAACTAACTGGGTGGGGCATACTTCCTTGTAAGCAGAGGAAGGGATCGGCTACATATCGGCTTCAGTCCAAGTACTTCGGCTCCATTAAGGTGTGGATCGGTATGCTAGTTTCTCACTGAGCCCAATCCCACCCATGGCTACTCGGAAGCCAATGTCATTTGCCCGCAACTAAAGGTGTTCAGGGGTGACCTGTCTCTATGTCTTCCTAGGCATGTACGCTCTAGCAATCGTTATAGAAACAAGCCGTTTTTGAAAACAGGCCGCCTGAGTGAATCATTAGCTTTCCGGGTCTATTCACACACTTCTGAGGTGGTATCCGTATAAGTGAAAGGCGGCCAGTTTAGCGTCTAATAATAACAACAGTGTGATTTCTGGGTGCTCTGCCTGGTGTGGAGCACAGCTGTGGGGCAAGTCTAGATACGCAAGAACGAGGCAGTTTAATAACAATCCCAGTTGCTGTCTTAATATGTATTTCTGATTATATTCTGGATGCCAGCAAAGCTGTGCGTGGAGGCAGACGCCTCTGTGCCCCTGTTAATACATGGTCCGTCACCGGAGTCGGCAGAGTCGGGCCGCCTGTCATGTCTAACCAACCGTATATAAATATGTATTTCACTGTAATGGAAACGCAAGGCTTCGGGGCGAGCCTGCATCCCTTTTGCGCGAGTATCCTACAATCAGAGGCTCAGATTTTCAGCGTGTTTAGGGACCCGAGCTGAATATTTGCCTGCATTTCTGGATCAGGCGTCCTTGAAGCCAGGAGCTTCCATATGTACTATAGGGCAGGTCTGGGATCATCCGGGGCTTTAATCGCGTATGTTCCCCGGAGGAAGCCGATTTGCATCTTCACGGTCTCTCCATTTACTCGGGAGAAAGCGCCATTAAAGTGCCTTGGAAAGTGCCCCCCCCCCCGACGTTGAGTGGCACTTGATAATCAGTGGGATTTCTTTGGGTTTTCGTATGAACCCCGGACACCAGTCCCCCTGGTTCCAAAGGAGCGTCTGTTTAGGATCTCCGTCTCGGGTTGGGACTTCAACCTTCCACTCTTAAATATATTGCTTTTGGAGGTGAGTCCCGCCGGTTTAAATGGCGTGGGGTGACTCCGGAGTGAAGCGCGCTTGGAACCGCGGTCTCCGACCGCCTCGGTAACTCCTCCGGCTCAACCGGGTTGTGAAGAGCGCCGTTGTCTGCCGGGAGAGATTGTTTGAGCTGATCCAGCGACCCGGCGCCCTCCTCCCCCCCCTTCTTCAGCTGCTGATTCGGCGCCTCTCCCTTCCCTTTGCAGAGAAAGACAAAAGCCAGCCGAGCAAGAACGACGACGCGGGGCCCGAGGATCCGTCCAAGAAGAAGCGGCAGCGGCGGCAGCGGACTCATTTCACCAGCCAGCAGCTGCAGGAGCTGGAGGCCACTTTCCAAAGGAACCGCTACCCGGACATGTCTACTCGCGAGGAGATCGCCGTGTGGACCAACCTCACTGAGGCCCGAGTCCGGGTAAGCCCCGAGACGCGCTTGGCCCGCCGGGGCTGAGGGGGGGGGAGGGGAGGGGAGGGGTCTGGCGAAGGGATCTCGGCTGGCAACAGCGCAGCCGCTTTCGCTTTCCCCTCCTTGGCCTCCGCGGAGGGAGGCAGCCGTTGGGCCGCCGCGCTCCCTGTCAGGCCGAGACAGCTCGCCGGATGACAGATGGCCCCGGCCGGGCAGCGCGTTCTTGAACGCGGGGCGGAGGGGGACCCGGGCCAAGAAGAGAACCGCGCCGGGCAAGCTCCGACGTGCGCGCAGCAACAGAGGCGAGGCACCGCGGGCCTCTTGACTCGGGCCCAGGCACACACGACGTGCCCGTCCCTGCAGGCTTCGCCTCTCTCTTCCGCTCCCCTCCTCTCCCCCCCCTGCATTTCACAACTACGGTAGTCCCCCCCCCCTTCCCGTCTTAGATTTATGGCTCCTCGTGGCTCTATCCGAGTGCCACAAACCCAGCGGGCCCTTTGAGCGTCAGGCTCTTGCAATGCTGGCTCGAAACTCCGGTTGCAATCCTGGTGAACAGGCGTCCTTTGCAGCGAAGTCCCTTCCAAGGAACGGGCCAACTTTCGAGTAAGGCCGCGATCCTCGGTGTAGGGACTGAGATGGAATCCAGCGCGCTTTGTTTCCGAGGAAATGTGTTTTCTGCTGGGTCAGCGGTTATAATCGGCAAGAATGGAACTTTAGAGTAACCTTATTTAATGCAAAAAGGCTGCTCCGGAGTAAGGCTAGAGACCTTCCACTCAAATCCTACACGTTTAGCCGGGAAGGAAGTTTCAGTGAAGCGGGTGAAGCGCGATAGGTTTTCTCAGATTGTTGTTTGTTTTATTTTTACTTTCCATTTGGAAAAAAAGCCGCTCTCTTTTTTTCAACGTTTCCCATTTAAACCACGAACTTACGAATGTGATGTGGGAGACTGCAGCAAAGTTCCCCTAGAACTATTTATTTTTACTCGGAAGTAAACCCCACCGAGTTCAGTGATGCTTACTTCCAAGAAAATGTGTATGGGAATGAAGAATAAGGAAACCGTGCTGCTGAAACACGTTTACTTGGAAGCAAGTTCCACCGATACCGCCAGCTCTTACTCCCAAGTAAAAGCCGTTGTTATGACCGAGGGAAAAATACACTTCGGTGCGGCAGGAAGGCCATGTATACATTTTGAAAGCATGCCGTTGTCTGGGATTAAATTCCATCGACGTGGAACGCTTTTAATTTGTAAAATCGCTTTTGCTACAATAAGGTAGAACAAAGCAAACAACCCCCCAAGATTTTTTAATTAAAAAACCCAAGAGTCGTAGATTTGGGGCTCAGCTGTGTTGTGGCAACACGCAAAAAATAATTAAAAAGACAGAGGCCTTGTCTGCTATTAAATTGGTTGGGAGGGCCGTCCGGGCCATAACCAATTTAAACCGAAAGGTTTGGGCCGCTGCCGATTTAGTCTTCTGCCCGACCCAAGCGCAGGAGGGCTCGATCCTCAAACCGATCTAACTCCCCAACGCTCCTACCTTGAAGGCCATTCCCGTGAAATCAGTCCGCCAGGCTTCTGAGGACAGGCCACTTGAATTAAAGAGTCCGGGTAGGGGGGGTTAGAGTTCAGTCCTGTGGGTGTTTACTCCCAACTCCAGTGGGGCTCGCCCCCAAGCAAGGGTGTCGACTCAGCTGGGCAGTGGATCAGGCGCTGAGTCCAAAGGAAAACAATGGAAGCTCAGCCGCTGGTCCTTTAGTTGAACGGCGCAGGAGGCTTGCAAGAAGACAAAGGCAAAAGGAGCGGCAAAAACCCCCTGCCCCCCCCCCCGCCTTAAAAACCGGGGGGGTTCTTTCTCTTTTTGGTAACATAAAAGAATCCCTCCTGGCATGTCTTCACTCCGAAGAGAAAGCAAGATACCCCGTTTTTAAAAAAGGCTAAGGCTGGTGGGAGAAGGGCGGGCGGAAGGAGGCCCGGCCTTTCAGGTTTCTCTTTTCTAAATAAAATTTAAAAACTGCCTGGCTGGCGGACGCAGCGGCGGGCTATTCCTCCCCGGCCCTCCAGTCTGTCTGACCCCTGCGAGCGGGACCAGCGATTCTTCCTGGAGGTTGTGGGGACAACGTGGAGGACGCCGCCTCCCCCCCCCCCCCCCCGGGGGAAGCCCCCTTTGGTCTGGGGGGGGG